CGCTTCCCACTGATCTCTGTTTGATCTCTTGAGCGTTCAAGAGGTCGCCGCTCGAGATGGAGTCCAGCGATGGCAAGGAATCGCTTTTGTCTCCACTGATGATCTCCTCGTGAGTGTCCAGGTCTTTGGCGATGACTACTGGCGCGTCACTGGTCTGGTCGCCGCTGCTGTCCATCAACGAGACCAATGTGTTGGCCGATGAGATCTCTTCGCTCGTGTACTTCGAGCTGTGACTCTGTTTGGCATCAGTGGTGTCCGTGGCTCTAGTCTGCCGTTTGGTCATAATGTCACCTATTATTGCGAAGTTAGTACTGTAACGCTTGGATCAAATGGTGTGACAATTGATGTCTTAAATGGGCTCAACAGTGGACTCAACGGCTAGTGATTGTGTGGCAATCGATTCACTCGAATAACAGGCGTTTTGAATAGCGCTGAGAGAGTGATGGATAGCGCGCGACATGCAATCAATTGTCAAATTCATTGATACAGTGTTTGCATGAATTATGTGACAGTCTCTGCATAATAGGCGCACAATTGCTGCATAACTCACTCCAGTGTGGGAATAATGGATCAATTATTTTCTACAATCATTTGTTTATTAATTTAAAATTTTTGCATAATTTCTCTATAAATACATGTGTAATGAAATGACTACAAAATTATCTCTTTTTCCAGGTATACTTCCTGCGGGCGCCCTCCTGTCCCCACTTCTTGCGCTCCCGGCGCCGCACATCTTGTGTTAATAAACCGGCTGTTCGTTGAGGTAAACACACATTTATATTACCATTTCACTCGTATTATCAATTGAATGGACACTAAACGCGTACCTAATCTCATCTTCTCGACCATCTTTTCGTCGACAAAACTCCTGAGCGCCAGCGATAGGGCTAACCGTATGGCGCCGGCCTGGGCGGTGGTTCCCAACTCACGCCACGTGTTCCCGGGGCCCACCTTTGAGCCGATGGGCGGCGAGTCGCGGCTCCACTCTTTGGTCATCTCCTCGTGCATTGTCTTACACTCGATGTCCACTTTGAACAACAGACCCGTGAAGGTGAGCGGAGACATCACCTGCTCTCTGATCCGCGCAAATACACGTTACATACAATGAGCTCTTATACAGCCTTTAAACTATAGCTACCTGTCCTGCATGAACTCAAAGTATAGCAAATTTTGGCCATTAATATCTACTTTCCCGGTGCCGTTCCCGCGCACCACCACATTCGCGATACAATACTTTCGCATTCCTATCAAACGCGACAAAAATTGTCAATTATTTTCAAACGTCTCAACAAATATAAGGCAATCTCCGGAGACCTTTGGCTGTCATATACGGCCGGTCGTTCTCGTCGTACATAAGCGGCGGGATCTGTATCTGCGAGGACACGGCCTTCACTTCCTTCCTGTACTCCATAATGAAGTCTTTAGCCATTTTGGAGTAGGGATGGCTCACCAGCCGCTCCAACGCGTCGACCAGACTCTCGTATTTCTTTTCGTTGAACGCCTCCAAAAACTTTGCTTTCATTTCTTTGAACGAAAGCCATTCGGAGGACAAGAGTTCGCTGATTATCACCAGAAACACAAAAAAAGAGACAATATTTTAATACACAAATCAATGCCCAGACGAGTGGTGGTCAGCAATCACACACATTCTGGTGTCTTCGGGCGGCGTTACGATGCCTTTGCGGATGAGTCGGTCCTCGAAAGCGTTTAATTTGAGTAAATATTCGCTGATTTTCTGTTGAAATATCACGAAAAAAAATTTGATTCATAAAACTCGGGATCAATTACTGGGGCGACAGCAATGGCGCTCACGTAAGAGGTCTCGTAGAAGTTGGGCTGAGATGTGTAGAAGAATGAGCTGAAGGGTCGTCCCTCGGCGTCAAACTGGGCCTCCTTTTTCTTGGGGTATATCTCCTGCGGGGGTCTCATCAGCGGTCGCGCCCTCTTCGAGAACAGTCCCGATGGCATCAGATATTCAATGGCTCTCTGTTTTGGGGATATAAGAAGTGGACACCGATTACAGCAAAAGGATTCGCGGATACGAGTCAACTGATCCGTACGTTGATGTCCTGTTGTGTCATATGGTTGGCATCGGTGCCCATAATGTTAGCCAAATGTCGTTTCCCGGTCTCAAACTCCTGCGTCTGTTCGCTGATGAAGGAGTC